CCACAGGAGGGGAGGGGAAGATGCACGTATACACTTTAATGTACAGGCGGTTTTCCAGGAGTCGAAGGAGGACTTGATGAACATGTTGTATGTGTTCTGTAAGGAAGGAAGAGTAAACATAAATGTCATCCAAGTAAACAACAAAACAGCCTAGGAAATTGCAGAAGATGTCATTGATCAACCCCTGGAAAACTGCCGGGGCATTGGTGAGGCCAAAAGGCATCACCAGATATTCAAAGTGCCCAAGCGGGGTCTTGAAGGCAGTCTTCTACTTGTTGCCCTCTCAGATACGTACTAGGTGATAGACATTCCTGAGCTCCAACTTCGTGAAGACTGCCCTGGAGAGACTCAAAAGCAGAAGAAAGGAGAGGTAATGGATATTTGTTCTTAATTGTAATAGCATTAAGACCACAGTAATCAATGCAAGGATGGAAGCCACCATCCTTCTTCCCCACAAAAAAAAGCCCTGCACCCAGGGGTGAGGAAGAAGGATGGATCATACCTGCGTGTCAGGCAGTTTCGATGTACTCCTGCAGAGCCTGTCGTTCAGGTTTGGAGATGTGGAAGAGCCGACTGTTGGGCAAGGTGGCTACTGGGTACAGGTTGATAGCACAGTCATATGGCCTATGAGGAGGAAGAGAGTCAATGGCAAGGTGCTTGCTAAACACCTGTAGAAGATCATGGTAATCTTGAGGTATGGAGGACAGATCAGGTGGTTCAGAAGGTGGGGAGGCAGGGTTCCATTGATGTAGGAATCCAGCGGAGAAGCCCTAGGGCTTGAAGTTACTCTGCAACATCCCGGTCCAAGTTGAAATGTTTTGACTTATATCCTATCTCCACAAGGCAGTGGCGACTGTATCTTGGGTGCAACATAGACCTTGAACTACGCACACCAGAACATAAACACAACAAACACGAGCACGCACTATAACACACATTTTTAGGCAGACAAAAAATGTACCACACAAAAAAGACAGAGATACATTCATTCACGCCGCCATTTTTTTCTTTTCTTTGGCTTGCGGCGAAATTTGAAATGCAACGCGTTCAACATGCTGCAGCTGTGGAAGGATGTGGACAAAGTTAGGACAAAGTGGTTGATAAAGAAGTGGCGAAATAAGGCTTTTGTAGTCCGATGTTTCTTCAGAAGCTTAACGGGTCTTGAGTTATAGAAAATCATGGAAACTGCTGTGCTGAGCCTCCAGAGCCTACATGATAAGCTGAGGATGCAAGTTGACCTTAATAAGAGTATTGAACCCAACTTCATTCAAATTGCACAATACTTTGATGACTGCCATCGCAAATGGCTGAGAGCAGAGCAGGGTTAGGGGTCTTGCAAAGAGCTTTTCACCAAAATAGAGACAGAGAAGGGGGCCTTGGAGGTTAAACTGAAACATGCTCGCAACTAAGTTGATGTGGAGATCTGGCATAGACAAAAGACAGAGGCTGACTGTGAGAAGTCCTGATCAGGAGGTCATGACTCAACTGAATTTGAGGGTTCCTCAAACAGCAGAGCAGCGCTCAGTTCTGGCCTTCCTGAACACAAACTGTCAGGGAGCAGCCAATCTGAATACCAGCTGAAGACTGACAACCATAGATGGGTCCGCCTCCATCTTGTCAGATATCAGCTATGATAATTGTGGGTAGCTGGCTGTGGCTCAGGAGGTAGAGCGGGTCATTTCCTAAACTGAGGATTAGCGGTTCAATTCCTGTCTTGTCCAGTCAACATGTTGTTGCTCCCGGTGATAACACTGGTGTGTGAATGTGTGAGCATTTGGGAGTGCGAATGGGTGAATGGCCAAATAGTGTGAAAGCGCTTTGAGTGTGCTGTAAAGAATACTGTAGAAAGGCGCTATACAAGTAAAAGACCATTTACCATAAAACGGATGATTAGCTTGACTGGGACTCCTACAACGTGAGGACAGTGCGACTCCAGAAATGAAAAAAGAGGTGTTCCTCGAGAAATCTTGTTGATGGTCCTCCAGTGGCCTCCAGAAAGTCTCGATCGACCGGCAGAACATCAGGGAGGGGAAATGAAACTATGGTGACAAAGACCACGGTGACTGTACCTGCAAATGGAGGACCTGTTGAGGCAGTTTCTACCATTGAGACAGTCCCTTACTGGACTCGCAGCAGGAGAAAGACTGCTGCCCTGGAGTGGGACTCTGAATCTGTCAAGCCTGAAGATGTCTTCAAGCAGCCCGCTAATCCTGAGGCAGAGATGAAAGCCAAACCCGGCACTCCACAGAGCAATGGAGGTGCCCATCTTCACGAGTTTGTCTCTAAAACTGTCATTAAGCCTGAATCCTGCATGCCCTGTGGAAAGAGGATCAAGTTTGGCAAGATTTCACTGAAGTGCTGTGACTGCAGAGTAGTCTCGCACCCCAAGTGTTGAGAGCGTTGTCCTCTGCAGTGCGTCCCCAACCTGGGTGGCACACCAGTCAAAATTGGCGAGGGCGTGCTTGCAGACTATGTCTCTGTCATGTCACCCATGATTCCCCCTCTTGTGGTCCATTGTATCAGTGAGACTGAGCAAAGCGGCCTGCATGAGGCTGGGCTGTACCATCTGTCTGGTGCAGATCGTACAGTGAAGGAGCTGAAGGAGAAGTTTCTCTGCAGCAAAATGGTTCTCATGCTCAGCAAGGTGGACGACATCCATGCCATCACTGGCCTCAAAATCAACCCCATTTTGCTTGTGAATGACTGAGCCTTTTGGGATGCTCATTTTATACACAATCATGATGCTCACCTGTTTTCAATAAACTTGTTCACCTGTGGGATGTTCCAAACAGGTGTTTTTTGAGCATTCCTCAACTTTCCCAGATTTTTGTTGCACCTGTCCCAGCTCTTTTGGAATGTGTTGCAGGCATCAAATTCAAAATGAGTGAACATTAAACATCTTGTCTTTGTGGTGTATTCAATTAAATAAGGTTAAAAAGGATTTGCAAGTCATTGTATTCTGTTTTTATTTACACTTTACACAATGTCCCAACTTCACTGAAATTGTTTGTAGTAAATCATGCATGTACCAGCTTATTTTTAGTATTACTCTCCTTGATGCCAAACCATTTGTGAAAATGAAAATCAGATGTTTAATGTTTGATAAACCTGATGATACATGGTTTTTGATACATTATTGCAGGTCCATATAGAAACTAAAAGTGCCAGCCAGATGTTTGAGCTGATCAAGAAGACTCTGATCCACACTGAGGCTTACCCACACCTCCTGTCTGCACTGCAGCATTGTCTCATGATGCCATGTAAGACCTTACTTTACTTACTGGCTTTTTGAATAACAATAATCAATGTCACTAGCAGCTTTGCTTGCTATTGACTCCTCTCTGTCTGTAGTTAAGCAGAATCGCACCACACTTCAGTACTGGGTATTGTTGGACCGGATAGTTCAGCAGCTGGTTCTGCAGACAGACAAAGGTGAAAACCCAGATGTTGCTCCACTGGAGAACTTCAACGTCAAAAATCTTTTACACATGTAAGTTTTCATTGTTCCTAACTTTGGGGCATGAGTATTACTACTGCAAACTGTAATGCCTTTAAAACGCTACTGTTATTAGGACAGATAGAGAATAGTGCTCCCTGTGGTAAACACAGACAGTTTATGGTTACATTTCAAGATCAGCCAAGACCTTTCAAGGTTGCCCAGTAGTCTTAATGCTAACCTTTACTGTTCTAAAGGTCTTTTCACATGCAGAGTGATGTAAATAAACAATACAAAATGAGTCTACAAAAGTCCACATCAGGTGCTGCACTTCTAAATCCAAGGAGTGCATCTTATATTGTATATAGTCGTTGATGTCCAAGGGTTCATTGACAGATTATTGGTTTGAAAATTATTATTGACATGAAAAAAAAATTTATGAAACATATACCTTCAGTATGAAAAGACCTTAAGAATGGAATAGAATAGTTTAAGAGTAAGAGAATAGTTTAATTGTTAAAGAGACAGTGTTTTACTTAAGCTATATAATTGAGTTCACCCTTGACATCATCAGCAGCTTTATGCGCCGATCCTGACAGTATGATCTGGCCACCATGAACTCAGCCAGGGAGGAATACTCACGTTTTGGCAGTGTGCCAGTATATAGGCATCTGAGGGAGAGCTTTCATGCCACTCATCAGCTCAACACACCTGTTCGCCTGCACCTCTGATCTGCCAGAGTCAGAAACCCACAGAGCTCCCACACCTCCATCAGGGTAAGGACGGTTTTTCACACTCCAGTAAACCAACCTTACTCTGAGGAGACCCCCTTGACCCCAGCTGAAGCACAAGCTGTCAGACAGGAACTGAAAGCCCAGATGACCGATCCTCTCTCCCTCCCTGCTCTGAAGTCCTTTTCTTGGCCTGTGATCAACCTGCAACCTGTGCCTGGTCCAGTCTCCCAGTGGGTCGGCTGGACCACCGCCGCCACCTTTGTCCTGAGTTCTCTGTTCAGCTGGGCACTTTTTTTCAGGTCCCCTGGCCCAGACCCTAAGAACTGCAAACCCTTTGAGGGAACCTGGTGGACCATTGATCCTGGGGGTCCAGGGAGAGGGAGGACCAGGAGGAAATCTCAGATCCAGCTTGTGTCCCAGCTGCAGCCTCCAGCACCCTTGCCCTTTGAGGGAACCCAGTGGGCCATCTGTCCTGGGGGTCCAGGGAGAGGGAGGGTCAGGAGAAAGCCACCAAATGGGGCCGCAGTTCCTGTTCCTGAGCGGGTTGGCCGGACTGCCGACGCTGTGTTTGTGTTCCCAAGTGGGTCGGCCCTCGCGCCAATGCCACCTCCAAGCCTATTTCTCTTCCTGCTCCCGAGTGGGTCAGCCGAACCGCTGGTACCGCCTCAGACCTTGTTCCTGTTCCCGAGCGGATAGGCTGGACCGCCAACGCTGCCTCACACTTTGTTTCTGTTCCCAGTGGGTCTATTTTCTCTGTATTGATTATCAGACTTCCCTCTCTGACCTCTCGTTTTGGATCCCTCAGCTGTGTAAGTTTGCTGGCTCTGCAATGGCGAACACTTGTTCTGAAGACATCTTCTATGTTTGAGTTTTCAAAGAAGCTCAAGTTAATTACTGTTGTTATGAGTCCAGTCTCGCTGCAGTCATGTTTAAATCATAAAAAATCATTAGTCGGTAAAAGTGTCATAACTGAAATATTTCAGATTTGGATAACCATCTTAAATTTATGTTAACATTAGTGTGGTTTTTCTAAGATAGTGGAAAAGTCTAGTCTCCAGTTAACTCTTAATACGTCTGTGTGTTTATAGGCTGGTCAATGAGGGCGAGGTCAAACAATGGAAAGAACAAGCTGATAAAATGAGAAAAGGTAAATAAACAAAATGTACAGCATTAACATGTACTAACATAAAAATACAAGTTGGAATAATTGTTCATTTTAAATAATTCACCTAAACCAGCACATAATTTTAAAAGATACTTTGACTGATTAGTTGAGAATAAATGTTCACTAAGTGTTTTGCTAAATTTCAAGATATAATTAAAAACAGGATCAAGCATCAATAAAGTCATGGTAAATAAAACAAGATGTAGGAAGTGAAAATGTTTATCTTTGGCTCAATTCCTCACCATATGGTCCAGCAGGTCTGCCTTTAAAATTTGCTTTGGATAACAACTCCAGTTTGTAGCTATCTTACATTCTGTTCTTTGCAGAACATCAGAACTTACAGCAGCGTTTTGAGAAGAAAGAGAGGGAGTGTGAGGCCAAGAATAAGGAGAAAGAAGATATAATGGAAATGCTGAACAAGATGAAGGACAAGTTGGAGCGAGAGAGCAATGACCACAAACAAGCCAAACTACAATTAGCAGCACTGTCTGCCCAGCTGCAACAGCTAAGCTCCGTATGTTCACCAACACAGGATCCATGTTTCCTTCAACTAAAAATCTGTTTCACTTTTTACTAACAAATTTTTTGACACTTACAAGATCCTAGCATCACAGTGATCATATGGGTCCTGGTCACATGTCTGGTAACGATTCATAATCCACATTTCAGTGAAAGATTTTCTCATCCTGTTAGAGCTCAACTGTTCCAGGAGGGCCTCCTGTGACCTCTGGTGGTCCTGTCCCATCCATTCCTTGTCCTACTTCTCCACTGCCACCACCTCCTCCTCCTCCTCCTCCTGGAGGTCCACCAGCTTTCAGCATGGTTCCATTTGCTCCACCTCCTCCTCCAGGAGCTCCACTAGAAGCTGCCAAGAAGAAGAATATTCCTCAGCCATCCAACCCACTGAAGTCATTCAACTGGAGCAAACTACCTGAGGTACATACTATATACTATAGGTGCTAATGAGGCACTGAGTTAACACAGCCTATGAACAATGATAGAGTTGCTTTGAGACACAAGGTTGAGTTATAGAGGTGTGTCTTTGTACCAGTATACCAGCCAGTGGTATCAAGAAACTCCACAGTTTAAGTTTTTGTGAGATCCACAGGTTTCATACAGACAAATCATGCCTGAACATGTTTCACTTTCGAAACACCCGGTGACTTCACGCACTGGTGACTTCACCGGGAGAAACTGGGGGTTCAGTGTCTTGCTCAAGGACACTTCGACATGTGGACTGAACAAGCCAGGAACTGAACCAATAATCCTCCGGTTAGGAAATCACCCGTTCTACCTCCAGAGACACAGCCGCCCCCCTGACCAAATGATGTGAAAGTTAAAGAGATTAACTAGCAGGCAGAGATGCTCGGGGGCTGACAGCAGCGAAAGTAGCCATGGGACTATCTGTGGCAATAGACACTGGTCTATAGGCAGTCTCCCACCGAGGTATCAAACAGGTCCAGTACTGCTTAGCTTTCAAGAGATCACACCAAACTGGCGAGCAAAGTTACAGGACAGAGGCTGAACAACACTTAGGTTAGTTACAGGCAGAGGTTGGCATCTTTTCACCTCAAGTGAACTGAGATCAATGCAAAAGCTACATGCTGCTCCAGGATGATGAGTATGGATGATGGCAGTGCACAGCAGTGCAGCAGCTTCTCTAGCTTCTCTAACTCCCAGTGTTTCTGAAACAAGAAAATGTTTAGGTAAGTACAGTTCATCGGAACTCAGGATACTCAACACCTTTGTTGTCCTGTTATCCCCTAAATTGAAGGCAGTGTTGGGCAGACTGCAGCTCCCCAGGATAATAAGTTGGAGCTGGAAGATAAAACTAAAGTGGAGGCAGTGTGCACGGAGGCAGAAGAGGGGTAAGCAGAGCAGTTTGTTAGCCAAGCTAAAGGCTATCAACAGGCCTGTAATATCTTCACTGTTTCTGGAAAACGTGTGCTTGTTGGACAGCAAGTTGGATCTGCTATGGCTATGTGTTCCCAGTTACAGGGAAATTAAGAACTGCTGTATATTTCTTCTGATAGAGAAATAGCTGATCAGTAGCATTCCTGATTTAGCCTACCAGGTTGATGGGGTGACACTCTTCTGAGCCGACCGTAACCATTTGTCAGGGAAGAAAAGAGGAGGTGGACTATGTGTTTACATCAGCTGTGGTTGGTGTTTGAACTGTTCTCTGGTAAGAAGTCACTGTTCAGAGGCAGTTGAACTTTTAATCATTCAATGCGTCTACATTATTTGCCTGGTGAGTTCACAGCAGTGTTTGTTGTGGCTGCTTACATCCCTCCAAGTGCTAATACTAGTGATGGCCATCTGACACCAAGGCTCCGATACAAGCTTCAGACTCGAAGAGGCATTTTCCGCGAACCACTGCTTTGAAGCCTGCTTTGTTGCGTACCTCAGCAAGTTCATAGGCGCATAAAAGCACTATATAGCCACCCAAAATGATGCACAACATGTGGGTTTGTCGTTGTAGTAGGTGTGTGTGTAATTGCTGTCCTTATTATCATTGCTGCCTTTGTTTGATCACCATCATGGGGCATTCACATAATTCAGACATTGTTTTGCTGTCTCCTATTTCACCACTAGAGGTCACTGAAACAAACCTTTGAATGAATGAACCGATGTTCGATACAATTGATGAAGTTGTTCAATATTGGTTCATTGCTTCATTTGGACATCACTAGGTAATGCCAATATAGCACTCAAGGAGCTTCATGATAGCATTAGCTTGCTTTAGAACAAGCACCTGGAGGCTTTTTATGTGATTGCTGGGGACTTTAATCATGTTAGGCCATTAGTCAGCCTGACCTCACTGTGCACTGATGTGCCTGTTAAGTTACCCATATAAGCATAAAAGAAAGGGAGGGAGGGGGGAGTATAACATAAAATAAACACCAAAGGTTAGTTTAAATAAAGTAAATGATTGACATTATGATTTATTTGGATTGTTTAAACTGGGTTTATGCAGTTCGGGGTCGGCCCCTGACCTTGACAGGAGAGGCTCCACCCCTGCATGATGTATCGGTGTGTTCCCCTCCTAAACTGCTCCCAGTCTCTGAGGAGGGAGCTCATCTAAGAGGGTTCAGCA